GGTGATTTTTAGTGTGGCGGGAATTCGAACTCGCGACCCTCAGAGTCGAGTCGAGTGCCTTAACCACCTGGCCATGCCGGGCCTCGTTCAATAATAACTTACTGTCATAACTTCCCATTTCGACTTGAAATTACTAAGATTATCTGTTTTTAGTGAATGACAGAGCGACCTTTTAGGTTTACAAACACACTTAACTTTAACCTTTGACTATGATCTCGCGTATTTCAGATTTTACCTATTTTGGTACTTTCGATCCCTTATATTAAGATTGCTGTAAGTTATCAAAACGTTTCAGTTAGTAAATAGAGAAAGTATTAAAAACATAGGAACGAAACCTGGCCTTGATTTTGTAAAATTGGTACCCGTATGGTGTATTCCACCCTAAAATCACGCTTGTTAAAAACATGATCAAAATCATTCAAATATATATAAAGAATTAAACACACACATCATACAAGTGATAGTAATAACAATTAACGTAGGGACGAGAAGCTATGTTTTTGTGATTAATTAAGATAAGCATAAAATTGGCAGTAATTTTGTTACTTATTGTACCAAATTTTGACTTTTCTGGATGGATTCCTATACAAACTTTTGATAACTGTAATATTAGGTAGGGTGTAAAGTAAACTATTTCCAGAGGTGGGTGTAAAATAAACGGTTTCTCTGATTTTCGTGATGATCTTTGGCGTAGGAAAAATAACAAAGCAAACGAATCAGTCGTTCGTTTTTCCTGGCAGTTATTTAGATTTAAAAATAATTATTTCCGGAGGAAATAATTATTAATCTGGGGTGCTCGAAGATTAAGCAATCCTACTTCACCCCGCTCGTGGTAAAAGGTTACATTTCGTTTAGTGGTCAGCGGAGTACTGAACCATATGGGCTAAGGATAATTAATTAAACAAAAGAAGGGGGTAATTTTGGATATTACAATATTAAAAATTTAAAAAAGTGAAGCAGAGTAATCTAAGGCTAAACAAAATCAGTCGTTGTCATGGTTAGTGGCTTATATTGCTACCTAAGTCTAGTTATTGATTAGTTACTAATTTCTTTGTTGTCATGGTTAGTGGCTTATATTGTTACCTAAGTCTAGTTATTGATTGGTTACTAATTTCTTTGTTGTCATGGTTAGTGGCTTATATTGTCACCTAAGTCTAGTTATTGATTGGTTACTAATTTCTTTGTTGTCATGGTTAGTGGCTTATATTGTCACCTAAGTCTAGTTATTGATTGGTTACTAATTTCTTTGTTGTCATGGTTAGTGGCTTATATTGTCACCTAAGTCTAGTTATTGATTGGTTACTAATTTCTTTGTTGTCATGGTTAGTGGCTTATATTGTTACCTAAGTCTAGTTATTGATTGGTTACTAATTTCTTTGTTACTAATTATTTACTACTTGATATTCTATGTTTCTCCTGCTAAATCTGCCGCTTTCATCAAGAGGATCCTGATGAAGATTGTGTTTTATAATGGTGGTGGTCAGGTTCTCTCGTGGGTCACCATTAGAACTTGAATAAACTGACTTGTTTCAATACTTTCATGAGTGTATTATGAGTTAATAGGATGTAGAAGACTTCTTCGCTTTTTCACGTGTGGTTCATATTCAGAATTTTCGTATTATTCCATTTCATTGTATGATGTCTTCTTACAATGATGGGTATTACAGAGTCCCGTATGTCTATTATGTCCTTTAATTGTATTGGTCTTGTCGGTTCTTCGATGTATTGGAAGCCACACTCACAAAGGATGTTATAAATGGTGCTCATGCTCTTCATTGGGCCTTTAGTGGTTTAGTGTTGTACTAACTGGGATAGTATAGTGGTGTGGCTTTTTAATTCTATTCTGACTTTGTGCTGTTTATATATATTCTCTATATGTTTTTACATAGACCTTTTACACAAGGGAATATAACTGTATGTCTATAATTTTCTTCCTTCTTATTTTTGGTATTTATCTTCTTTATTTTATTCTTTATCAATCAGGGTTTCCACTGTTTTTCTTAGTTCATAATATATTCTGAGGGCAGTTTTTAATTATCAAACCGTAGAGATTCTACATAAGCTTTACCTTTCAATGCGTTTATCTTGAACTTGACTGCTTTGTATAGAAAAAAGTACAATTTATCGGTTAGAACATTTTTCATATTTTACATTAGATCATAAAAACTGCTCTGTTATAAGTACTGAAGCTTAGACTACAAAACAATGAAACTGACTCATGCTTCAATGATATGCTTGATATGTTGATATGAACACAATCAAATACCAACTACGTTTAAAACTAAAGATATTTTGTGTTTCTTCGTATCTCTCTATATATAAAGCAGAATTGTCCGTCTGTCTGGTGTCATGACGTCACGAGTTGTTGTGCGAAACTAGCGGAACTAATTTCGATTGAAGTTGTCAAAGGAGCTTGGAAATACTTCTCGAACTTTCGAGTTTAAACAGATTAGCAATCTAACAAATGGTTCGAGTGTGGTAACCATTTTCATTTGTAATACATGAAACCGACGCCAAACTAAAGCGCTGGTACCCTTGCTGATGTCCAATGTTTACGATACTTAATTCAGAATAAATCCGATAGAGATCAGCATAAACAGCATTTTCAATGCCATCTAGCGATCACTGATTGTAACATACAATAACATGCAAATAAATTCTGGCAAATATTTATAAATACAGCGAAGAATGGTTTGCCCGAGATAACTCGGACAAATAATGTTTTTGAAACATGGGGTTATCCACACTATTTCCATCTTGGGTAATCGAACCCAGGATTCTAGCGTTTTAATATCTGGAGCCTACCGCTGCACCACTGGGTAGACGGCATATTTGTTAGTTATGGGTACATGTGTACATAAAAGTGAATAATCCGCTGCACCACTGGGTAGACGGTATATTTGTTAGTTATGGGTACATGTGTACATAAAAGTGAATAATCCGCTGCACCACTGGGTAGACGGTATATTTGTTAGTTATGGGTACATGTGTACATAATAGTGAATAATCCGCTGCACCACTGGGTAGACGGTATATTTGTTAGTTATGGGTACATGTGTACATAAAAGTGAATAATCCGTGAGTTCTCACAACACCAAGTGATTTAAAAAACTAACATACTTTTAGCAGGAACTCGCACTTATTAATCTGGTACTTACTCTAAGTAAATAATTATGTTTTTGCAAAGATGTGTTAAAAGTGAATACTGGATTTATTCTGTCACTTTAACGCTTTTGCACGTTTTCGATCAGTTTATATAATATATATATATATATATATATATGTGTGTGGGTGGGTGTGTTTGTAACTTGATATTTTACTAAACAGTTATTCAAGATATTATTTTTCATCTTTTTCTGCCCATCCTTCTTTACTTTAATTTTCCTTGAAGTAATTTCATTTGATTAATAAATAAAACGATAGAGAGCTTTCGGTAATTCATGATTTTT